ATTCTTGATTTTTACTTTATACTGGTTTTCTCTACTGGGTATGGAAAATCTAGTTCAGGTGTTTACCTTCTGAAAATATCAGGAATTCAAAGCAAAGGTGCAAAAGAAATAAAGGATATAAAGCAGAGTAGAATGAATAATGCTTTGTGACTTTCAGAAACATGGTGAGTTCATGGCAGCTGCTAGTGATGTTCTAGACGTATGGAACCAGATGTACCAGGACACTGTGGCATCACGGGCAGATACGGAGGAAAGCTGTGAAGAACTGGATCTTCCCAGCATTTCCCAAAGGTGTGTTCTTGGATGTTGGTTTTTACGGTTGGAATCATGTTTCCTGAGCTCTTTTCTAGAAAATGCTCATCTCAGTGAATATTAGTTCGGAGTTACTATGAGTGGATTGTCTTGTAAAGGAAGCTGGGGTGTGTAGATGGGAAGTTTTTTCCTGATTAGGTTTAAATCAAAAGCAATTGATATTTTAGTAGAGATTCCTCCTAGTATTCTTTCTTTTGTATGATTACCAATATTATATTAAACATCACTACATTAGTATATTATTCTTTAAACTATGTATTTCTTTTTATATAGCATTTAAAGAGGATTCATTAGAGTATAGGACGCAAGCCTAGACAGTTATCTGTTTTTATTGATTCACCAGCAACACTTTTATACTTCAGTGTGGATCCATGCACGAGAGAAATGACGGAAATCATCGAGGCGTACAATGACTTCCTCCGTAACTCCGGGTGCCTTGATCACTTTATGCTTTACAAGATCTTGAAGAAGCATGCAACAGGGGGGCATGAAGTGCAGAAAGATATTGTATCGAAGGTACATAGCCTTATTTAGTTTGCTCTCCTGTGTTCCCCAGGGCAGGAATTCATTGACCCTTAAAGATGGATGAATTTGCAGCTTTATTGTAAAGTAATATGATACTGATATTGAATAGGTATAGCCATGAATACTGATCTCCATATTATTTAGAAATTTGTTTGTGAGTGTGTTTCACTTTTCTCATGTCAGACTGTATAAAGAAGCAGACATGATGAGATGAAAGTATATTTGCTTTCTTTAATAAAACTTCAGTGACAGATTTATGTGCTGTCCCCTGTATTTTTTTGTGAATTTTGTTACACATGTGCTCAGCTATCAAGGAGCCTATCAGTAGGCCCTAGTGACTGCTCCTGAATTCCTCATTCCTTGAAATTGCAGGAAAAGGTGTTTTTCTTTCTAATACTATTGATATTGATACTGTTATTATTATTATTACTGATATTATGATTATTAAATTGTTATTATAATTTTGGTAACATTATAGACAATGAAATAATACAGAATAAGCTTTCCAAATATCAAGGAAAAGGATAAACAGATGAGAGAGGTAGGACCAATACCTGACTCCTTGGTGACTAAGAACTTGTAGAGCCATCTATGTGTATATACAATAAGTATATTACAATGGGCATGGCATGTATTCTTGCCATATGTTCCAATTGGGTAAAAGGATAAAAATCAGTAAGAATTAAAGATACTGAATAATGTGTGGTGTTCAGTTAAAAATATAATTCTGAAAATGCAGACCAGAATTGTTGAGTTTTTCTTTGTCAAAGGGTCAGGATTAAAAAAGCTATTCATATATATGTAACCCTTGCTTCAGTCCACTTGCTTGTTTTTCTGTAGCAATTTAGATCAAATTCTATTTTTTATACATGGTTTCAGTCATAACTTACATTGCTGCAGGTGTACATCCTTGAAGCCGTGAGCCAAATGCCAGGCATAGAGAGAGAGTTGGTGAAGATCCTTCTACAGAATGCCAAAGCCTTCAGAGCCACCGTGGGACTACCTCTTGCTACAGACACCTCTGGCACTGCCTATGATCTAAACATGTCAGGCATTGGAGATGTTGATGACCTGCCAGTGTCTCAAGGGAACACTAACCAACTGCAGCAAGATGCAGACAAGGCAGAGGAGGATTCTCATGGCACTAAAGGGAATAATGGTAGTAGCATTGCCAGCTTAGAGATTGACTCTCTGGAATGTCCCTTAGCAGAGTACCTGAGTTCCGAGCCCAGAGATGTATGTGAGGGGTACACATGCACAGAATCTGAGCTTTATGTTGAGCAGCTAATCCTCTCTCACCTGCGGTTGCTTGTAAATACAAGGGACGAACTGGCTTTGACAACCAGCTGTAGCATCCCAGGGAGAGAAATCTCACAGCAGGGCTTTGCTGACATTAAAGATGAAGCTCAGAAGAAGAACATGCCCATGTTTCAGGTAATGTGTCACTTACCATGGGTTTGTTTTGGGGTTCTTTGATTAGAGTATTTACTTTTGAATGAGATAATGTGATGATAATACTACAAGTAAACATATGAAGTTCCTGGTACAAAGCTGTTAGTGTAACAGTTACTGATTGTGAGGGAGTGTAATCATATGTAAATGACTTTTCTAGCTTCATATTTAGTAATTACAAAATGAAAGATTGTCATTTCTTACCTTCATGATTTTAAATGATACATTGCTTGCAAATACACTCAGTCTGTATTCTCCCTTATCCACAGACCATACTCTCCTTCATCATGCGACTGCGGCTTGGCGGTAAGGGGTACCAGCCAGAGCCAGACCACCCAGTGCTGCTCCATGCTAAGCCTCTGGGGGAATTTGTGGACTCCATCATGAAGCTCCAGAGTGTAGCAGAAGAGGAACCTGACCTAAAGTGAGATTTTTTGTGTTATTCTTTAGTTTGTCTTATTTGTAAACCTATTGCATCCTGGTCCAAAATCTAGGCACTAGGCTTACTTGAGTGGTAATTCTCAAGGGTATGTGGCTTGCAGGCCCAACCCACATGTACACTCATATGCAGTGTCAAGACTCATTGCCTCTCTTTGCAATGTTATTATCTCTATTGCATTAACATTTTTTATTTGTTTTTCACATTTTCCAAGGTCTATATTTATTTGTTATACTGTATCAAGATGGTAATATACTATTTTCCTTGCATAATGCATTTCTTCGCTATTTAGTCTATAAGTCTATGCAATAACTGTAACAAGTAACATTTTTGTTATTTGTGATCTTTATTTATATATTTTTATAATATCAAATTTTCTGTAATAAACCCTGCATTGCCAGTCACAGTTGGCGCTCCTCTTGTCATGGCCTATGGATTATACATTCCATATTTACCAGTGGAAATAATGCTAGAGCCCCTTCCTAAAAGCCCACATACCATTGCCATCAATGCAGCCCTCAGCTAAATTTTTTATGATTGCATATCCCTATCACCTAGCCTTTAGCCAAATTTTTTAATGACATGGTCATGTCAAGGGGTTAAAATGCCATTTCATTTTGATTTTTTAGCTATGAAAACTATATAATGATATATATTTAGGTTCATATGTTTAATTTGAACCATCAGTTTGATTTTCTTTGCTTTCATATGATATCTTAACTACAGATTAAAATGATTTCTTGCTAATCTTATCTGGATAGTATTTAGATCATAAAAAATACAAAGCCTGAATAATAAATATGACACTAATTTACCACCATTGCTGTGATAAGTAAGAAAAAAAAAACAGGCACTTCACTATCATGGAAATATAACATACCAAAGGAAAATCAAAGTTACCATCATTATGATAAAGAATATGAATATGATAATCAAGCCCAGACTTTGAATTAAAAGTAAACAATGAATACTGACTGATCGATACCCAAGTCTAAGCCCACATTTGCACCATTTGCCTTAATGATGCTTGGTATCATCACTCGAAGGAAATGTAGAAAGTTATCATTCCAGTTCATGTCAGAAGTATCAGGTTGTGACTCTTCTCTTCCACTTAATACTTTTCAATTTTCCTCCCATTCAATTTCTCTCAGAAGTTTTTGCTTTTCCTTCCCTGGATCATAGTCTTCTCCTTCTTTCAGGAAAGCATCCTCAAAGGTGCTCTCCCTCATCAAGAGTGGTTTGGTGCGCATGAGGGGCTGCGTCCTCAAGAAGGCAACCATCGAGCTAGTGTGGGGGAGGCTAAATGCGACCCTTGACAGCCTTCTCAACGACCCCCTGAAGGATGGCCAGGTCACCCCACAAGCTCAGCAGAGTAAAGGTCTTAGACCCTGTCTCAAGGTACTTACTGATTCTGTGAATAGAACTGGGAATGTGTAGAGAGGTATAAAATGGAAGCTCAGTATTTAGGAAGAGAATTATTCTAGAGTGCTTCATCTTTGAAAATTTGATGAAGGTTAATTTTGATAAGATTAACTCAGTGCTCAGGTGTGATTATCAATTCTTTAGATTTATATATAGGTACTTGCATGGGTGAGGGGGTTCAAGATTACAAGTAACCTTGACCAGCATTTTCCATTTTTTCGTAATTTTATTCTGTACCATTTGAAAATTTACATCCACAAGTATTCAAAATTTTCTGCATGTTAATTTGCTAGAATTCATTCTCTAAGTATCTCAGTATAACTAAATCATCCAAGAACCTCATATCAATTTTATTGCAAATTTCCAGGTCTTGCTCCAGTTGTGTGATGAGGTCAGTGGCCATGCATCATCAATGGGTATTGTGGATGCCTTGGGAGAGCACTTCCTAACACAGTGCAGCAGCTCTCGCAAGACAGCGACACCCATTCGAATCCCCTCAGTCCTGTCACTCTTCAGGTATTTTAATGTTATAATTTGCTTTACATTAGAGAGGGAGAGGAGGAGGAGTGAGTGGGAAAAACAGAGAGAGAGATGTATGTGGGAGGGGAAATTTAAGAGGAACCATTAAGCAATTATGTATACATTACCTTTTGGTATTATTAATTTTTCTTCACAATTTTAGTAGCATGGCTTACACATTGATAAAGTAAACGAAGAATAATGAGTATGACTGGTGAGAGAAACACTTTTCAATGCATGTGGCACAAAAAAATCTGTTTGCAAAATCAATGGAGTTCTTGCAATTTCATTTGACTTTAAGGATCTGACAGTGAAATTCTTCCATCCTGACTTCAAACACGAATTAAAATTTATGAATAATGAATAATGTTAATATAAGAAGTAACATAGAATAGTGAAGTAGAAATATATTGTTGAATATCCCTACAGGTCTCCAGCAGAGGCAAAGGACACCAACACTGGAGAAGGGGTTGATAATGAAGGGAACCTCCTTGTTCGAATCATGAAGAAGAAAGGACTGGCTCCCAAGGCAGAAGCTCAGCCTCAGAGGTATGTAACAGTTCTCATCTGTGTCAGTTTGTGTTTATACTGAAAATAGTGTTTTAAGCATTAAATACTTAGTGTTTTGGGGTTTACTACTTATTATAGAATGGAATAAAACAATTTGTGACAATTGAAAGGAGGTTATGTGGAGTAATGATTGACTGTATTCAGAGAAAACTTTACATAGTACTTCTATTTATTCATTTGTTTATTTATTTTTTCACTGCATATTTCCTTCTTAGATTCCAATCATCCTGTGCATGGGCTCCCGAAGACATGTCACCAGTGAGGCCAAATGGAGTCAACAACAGCCTCTCCCCTATTGTAGGTCCAACACTGAAGGCAGTGGGTAAAGGCAGCAAGAGCAGTCAGAGCTGGAGGGAGATTGTCAGTTCTCTGCCACAACGGGAGGTAAGTTGACAGCTGTTTTAGACTTTGGGCTGTGGGATAAATTATTTAGTTTATATAAATGTTGATCTATAAAGAAATCTAGTTTTTATAATGTTACTTTAGCATTTGGTGGAATTAAGATAATTAGTTTCTTGTATTTTTCCTTTTTTGCTTATACCTTTTTCTTTTCTTTTTTTTCTTTTCTTCTTTCTTTCTTTCTTTCTTTCTTACTTTTCTTTTCTTTACTTATAAATATCTTAGCAAATATATTTTAGGTATTCTGCCAGTCAGAAATTCTTATAAAAATTGTAATATTGCATTAGGGTGAAGCTAACGAGGCTGGAGAAACACAGGAAGCACAACCAGACGGCACTGAGGAAGCAAACAAAAATGATGAGGAGAAAGACAAGGTAAACGCAGATGAAAAGGCCAATGGGAAAGCCAAGAAAAAATGCAGCAAGAGATCGTTATTGTCTGACATAGCAAACATATCAGCTGAACCCGAGGCCAAGAAAGCAAAGGCTGAGGCAACTAAGCTGCAGAAGGAGAAAGGGCCATCCAAGAAGAGTGCCAAGCTGAAGCCCATCCCAAAGGGTCAGAGGTCAATTACCGCATTTTTCAAGACATAGAGGTCTCATGAGGGGCTCTGGGGTATGGTATTATATTAAATGTGTCTTAGTACAGGTAAGTGTCATTATAGAGGATCTGGGTTTCATTAGAGGAGAGAAGAGACCTTCATATGAAGATGTTCTCAGATTTATTTTTGTGTTTGTAAAGATGAAATTGTGTTATACTTACATGTGTGTGTGTGTTTTGTGTGTGAATTGATAAGATAAGCGTGGTACCTTATGGTGTGCAGGAATGGTTTAGTTTCTCATTTGTCGTAAATATTGTTAAGAAATATTTTACAGAATGTGAGCACAACAATTATTATTTATATGTTCAGGAATATTGCTGTACACCATGTTTCTTTCTATGTGTTCCTGTTATATTTTATTTATTTAGATTTTTAAGTTCTATTCTACAATATGCCAAAGGTTTTGAGAAGCCAATGAATGTATTTTGTGTGCATTAATGGATTTTACCAAATGTAGGAAGCCTAGTCTATTATTATTATTATTATTATTATTAATAATAAGCAAATGCACCTTATTAGTTGTATTATAACAGCAGATTTATGTATTATGAGGCATTCAAATAGAGTTAGTTTGAATGGTTATTTGATAAATTAATGCTAATAAGTTTTAGTTGTTTGTAAAAGTTGGTTTACCATATTAAATGATTTGTGAAGAGTGATTTACATAAAAATTCCATGACAGACCTCCATGTAGTAGGGGTAAAAAGTGTACATGTGTGCGTGTGCTGACAGAGTTCACCTTTGATAACTCCATAAAAACTGTATTTTATGTACTCAAGATTTCTTTAAGACGAAGAGAACATTTCGCCATATGTTTCTGTCAGTCCTTTGGTATTTCTTAAATTTTACCATAATATTAAAGGACTTTAGTGTTGCTTTAAATGGATTTGTGATAATCTTTGTATTAAATTTGATGTTGGGATATCCATAAGGGAGTGGTCTTGGATAATAGAAGGAGAATTAGGCTTGATTTAAGGTGGTCATTTATAAAGTTTGGGTTATGGTTTTAGGACTTAATTATATATAGGCATTTAGTATCTATATGCATATCATATACTCAGGTTTTTGTAAATTTAGGTGTAAGGAGAGGCTTTAAAACAGATGATATAGGTTGTGCTTATTTATTTCATGGCAGTTTTATCCCTACAAAACAAATGAGAAAAAATAGGATGTACTGCAAGATTGACAAAATTAGTTGAAACTTGGAGTGTGAAAAGGATTTTTTTATTATATTAACACAGCTAATATATTTGTATGAATATGTTGTATACAATAAAAATATGAAAACTAATTCATTCAGTATTTTTATTGAAAAGTGTTCAGTCTAAAGTTTTCATAAATATTATGATGGAAACTAATATAGGATCAAAGAATTATAGAGGAAGGAACAAACCTCTAAGTTCTTGTTCTGCAGTACATATAGTAATACAATTTCAAGTCTAACAGGAATATAGGAAGAAAAATAATAAGTTTAAAGTTTGACAAACTAAAATTATCCCATTGAACCTACTACAAGGCTTATAGCATAGTTTTGTCTCAAAGAAAAGTTTTTCTTATTACTTTCTTAAAATAGTCCAGCCCCCCCAATCCCTTGCCCGTTGTTGTCGTGGGGGGGCTTAGGAGGCGGAGACTGGGAGCCAATGATGGGGAACTCCCCAACCTTGGGACTCAGCCCTCGACTCAACTAATTATGCATGGTCTTTTTTTCCCTTCCCACTTTTGTTTCTGTCCCTTCACCAAACCCTTCTGCTATCCACCTCCTAAGGTGTGAGAGCCGTGCTGAAAGGATGAAAGGCTGACTTTGTGCCAGTCCTGAACGGCCTGAGGGAGCCATGGGCACGGTATTCCCCTGATTTAGTTATCTAGCCCTTACCCCTCAAGGGGACCCTGAGGGGTGGACTGCTTTTATCCCCAACATAATCCAGGCTTCCCATGGCCAGTAATGAAAATATATCACCACTGTTAGGGGCAATGAGGCTTGCCCCTTTATCAAATAGCCCCAACGAAGTAAACCCACCTGATTCCCCGACCCCAGGCTCTCCTTTGACCACGGCTCCAAACACTGCAATAACTACCCCTTCACCAATGCCTACTAGTACAGTAGCCAACAATCAACCCTCAAGGGACATTTCCACTCTCCCAGCATGCCCAACTTCAACACCTCTACCCCCACAACCTCCAACATCAACCACCCCATCCTCCCTTATTAATACCTTACAGCCTTATAGCCCACCTCTCCATAACACTACCTCCATCAACACTACTCCATCTTTGTCACGCCCTCGCCCTTCTACCACCCCTATCTCTAAAACAATCTTGAATACTCTCTTCAGTGCAGCCAAATGGGACCGATTTTTCGTGATCCCTCCCACAGCTCCCTACTCTAACAACACCCTTCTCTTCCAACAATGCCTCCAAAAACAAGTAGGTAAAGTCTCTTTCCGTAGCCGACCCGACCGCTCCCGTCTTGTAACAGTAACATCCGAAAACCAAGCCATAGCACTAACAAAACTAACTGACCTATATGGTAACCCCATCCTAGCAGAACCCCATCCAACCCTCAATACTTGCACCGGAACAGTCTCAATCTCCCCAGCAAATTGCCCAATCTATGACAAAGAATGGTCAGATTGTGGAGAAGATCTACTTGCCTGTCTCACAGACTACGATGCAACATCAGTACAATGCTATTCCATCCCCCCCAGAGGTCATCGAAAGAAACCCACTAACATAGCCAAAATTACCTTCCGTAGACATGACCTTCCCTTTAACGTCTACATAGGAGGAGAATCCCTCCCTGTTCGTCCATACCAACCTCCTCCACGTCAGTGCCAAAATTGTTGGCGTCTAGGACACCCAGCCAAACACTGCCGTTCCACAGCCAGATGCCCATTATGTGCCCAACCTGGCCATACCCGATCTAACTGCTCTGCACAATCACGCACATGTGCCAACTGTGGCGGCCCCCATAATGTATTTTATAGGGGCTGTCCCACCTACAAATTTGAATCTGAGGTAGCAACTCTCAGATTCAAACTCGGACTCACACTGCGTGAAGCCAGACAGGAAGCACGTCGACGTGGATTCTCTCTTACTCCTTACTCCAGTAATACTGCTCATCCTAACACTTCTCCTAAACCCACCCCTCCTACATCTAACCCCCCCCACTAACCCCACCTACCTTCCCCAGTCAAACTCTTTTGCCATCCTAAATCCAGAAACTCCAATCTCTACTACAGATACTCCAATCACCACTACAACCCCAACACCTTCCCCTCTCCCTCCTCGCACTCCCCGTAACAGACAGAACAAACGTTCCACCCCCTCTTCCCCTACCACACAATCACCCCCATCATCCTTTGCCCGTACTCTTGAGACACCAGTCCTCTCTTCCCCCCCTCACAAGAAATCCTTTATCCCCCAAAACTCCCCAACCAACTCCACAGAAGAAACTATTGAAAATATTCAAGATTACTTAATGAAAACCGACACTCAACCTACAACTCCTGCTCCTTCCACACTCCAAGTAATTGCTGATATCCATCCTCCTCCTAACGATATCCCCCCTACACCCTACCCTCCTACCCCCTCCCAACACAGCCCATTCCCCCTGACCCCAACCCTGCCCACATTAACTCTCCCACCATCCCCTCTATCCCTTCCACTCCCTCCTGGATACACACGTGAATCCCTTATGTCACAAGTATCCCCTTCCTCAGACCCTCCATCTCCTAATACCCCTCCTGATAGAACACCAACTCCCACACCTCTCCCATCTCAAACCTCTCAGTCCTTATCCCACCCTCTAGCTACTTCCCCTTCAAATTCTCCAACACGTACTACAATCTATATCACTAAATCAACGAAAGTATAACTATCCTTCATTGGAATATTCGCGGTTTCCGCTCCCACAGACCTGACCATCATATCCTTTCCTCTTATAACCCATCTATTGTATGCCTTCAAGAAACCTTTCTTATGCATACCCTTTATCTAATATAACACCCGACCTTAACCCTTTCACTCACTAATTCCTTTGCCCAGCTTAGACAACTAATCACTAACTCAACCACCCTTCACTAACATTAACTATAGTGCTACATGACCTTAGATGTCTAGCACATTTATCTTGCTTTTAACCATTAACCATTAACCATTAAAATAGTCCAGTGAGTGAATACAAAAGGTAGTGTAGATATTTTGCCAATCTTCATTTTATAGTTTTTACTGTCATTATTTGAATAACATACCTTACAGATCAAAAGAAGAAACAGTTGAGACTAATCAAATTTAATCCATTAATTTTTCCTCAAGCCCTGAAGATATACTGAGTAATTAAAATATAGCACGGAGTGGTTAACATCCTATGAAGATACTGGATCATATTTTACCAAGCTAAGATATATTGCAACAACAAACACTAAATACAGTTATGCATATTGCAGAAAAAGTAAATAAAACTGGAAAAAATGGAAATGGGTAAGAAAAAAAACAACTTTCTTGCTTATCTTGCTTTGCTAAGTACTTGATAAGCCCCTCCCTCCCTTACTCATTATTGTGAGGAGAGGGAGAATGAGGCACAATGTAGCAAATCACCTCTGCCTTCAATCTCAGCCCTCAATTCAGTTAATTTTGCATGGGTGTTCTTCTCCTTTCCTTCATCTCATTCTTCTGTCCACTTATCTTAACTGTTAACTCATTTTTACCATTTTTGGCACAATACTGCCCGCTTACGCATTGGCCACACCCGTCTAACACACTCCTATCTGATGTCACAATCTGATCCACCCCTATGTTCCTTATGTAATGTTCCCCTTTCAATCGTACACATCCTATTGTCGTGCCCACGTTTTGAAGCAGCCCGTACCTCTGCTTTCCCCCACCTATCCTCCCTTCACCGACCTCCCAACCTATCAGACATCCTTACAGAATCCCACACTTTCTGCATCAACAACCTGTTCTCTTTCCTCAAACGCATACATATCCTTTATCTAATCTAACACCCGACCTTAACCCTTTAACTCACCAATTCCTTTACCCAGCTTAGACAACTAATCACTAACTCAACCACCTTTCACTAACATTAACTATAGTGCTACATGACCTTAGATGTCTAGCACATTTATCTTGCTTTTAACCATTAACCATTAACCATTGGCACAATACTTTACCATGGTACTATATGACCTTCGATGTCTAGTACATTTATTTGTTTTAAACATTAACCATTGATAAATTAGCATAGTAATCTTAGTTTATCAGATCTGTGGTGAACTGATGAAACCCCCATTAGGAAAGGAAAGAAAGAAAACAGGAAAGTTACAGGAAGAGAAACTGCTAAAGGGGGAAAAAGGACATTAAAACTACTAAGAAACTACTAAAACAACTAAAAATACTAAGAAAGTCAGCATGGCTTGATTCTTGGAACATCTCTATTAACAGGGTCATTCTTCTCAGTATTTGGGACAACCTACAGCATATTCTGTTGGTACTTAGCTCACTTGCATCAAGGAGGAAAAGGAGGAAAAGGCTTGAGAAGAGGGTACAGAATTGAAGTTGCTGATCTAAAATCCTCATGTGAGCTATCCCTTCTTTTGTTCAAATGTTTGTGTAGAAATCATATGTGATGCAAATGGGAGTATCTATAAACTTGCTGACGATCAAGATATATTGAAAAAAAAATAGAAAATACTCATGTTTAGAAAAATTGGTTGAACATCAAAACATGATACTTAAAAAACAGTAATTTAAGCTCAACTTAAAAGCAATAATAATAATGATTATCATTATTATTATTAATTTAATAATAATAATGACAATAACATTGGTAACAGTAATAGCAATAATAATAATAATAATATTGCAACTGTCACTACCAATACTACCACAAATGTTAATACTAATAAGAATGATATAACAACAACAAAATATTACCAAATATATATAATTATTGCCATGAAAACTAATAACTACTTAATAATGACAATGTGACAAAGATGACTGACAACAGTAACTGCAATACAGGAATATGAGGGGGGAGGGGGGAGACGGAATACCAAACTGATTTTATCATAAATATACATTTAACTATGCACACATTACTGCAGACCATAAATGTACATACGACTGAGGCATCAGCAAAACGTATCGAGTTTCATTGGAAATATTACGTCACAAGCCAATGTACGTAACGCGAACGTTTCTCGCGAGGTCAAGAAGGCTAAGAACTCCATAGCGACAATGAAAATCAATATTTTTTTG